GACCTGGTGGGGTGTGCACGGGAGAGGGAGGGGATCTGGCCAGGGAGCGAGGGGACAGAGGGACCAGAAGCAGACACGTCACTGCCCCATCACCCAGCTCCTTCACACCTCAGTGGGACCCTGACCACCCCCCACCCACATCCCCGGGGCCATTTCCTCCCAGGCGTTGGGCTCTGGAAGGGGCTCCTGAGAGTCCATTCCCTCCTCCCAGCCCGATTCCTGAACTGCAGGTTGAGGAAGCTGCTTTAGGGCAGAACAGACGCCAATCTGGTAAAAATATGTTCGTGGGTTTGTTGTTTTTTGGTTTTTTTTCTCTCAAAAAAGAACTGCAGAGAAAGGCCATCACCCCTGGCATGACGCAGGCACGAAGTGGGTGAATTCCCAGTGACACCAGGCGTGTGTCCTTCCCTCCTGTGGCCGGGCAACAGGCAACAAGGGCAACCACTATCCCCGACAGAGCTGCGCAGATTGCTTCCTCTGCTGGGAGGATAAGGATCTTTTAATAACCTCACGCTGAGATCATAATCATGAGACTTTTTTCAGGGCATCCCCTACAACCGCTCTAAGAACTCCTCTGGGTGAGGAATCCCAGCTGGGCACCGCTCTTAATGTCAGGAATTTACTCGCAATTTCACTTCTGCTTTTTTTTGTGTGTTGTTGTTTGCTGGAGGAATGACTGTGTCAAACCCCAGCGAGTCGACCGCCCGGCTCCTCGTGCCAAGCTCTCCCCACAGGCCTCCTCCATCACTAGTGGGGAGTCAAGGGGTGTCTGGGCAGGAGACAAACCAGGAGGTGGGAGATCCCGGGAGGTGGGAGAGCAAAAGAGCAGAGGGAATGTCAGGGTCCCTCATTGATGTAAGCAAAGAGGCACTACTGGGAAGTGGGCATTGAGTCAGGTTCACCCTTACCTCACTGAAGCATCTGTTTGGGCAACTCTGGCTCCTCCAGCGAGGGCAGGAACCCATCCTGGTGGCTCAGGTCCTTCCCTGTGGCACTCCATGGTGTCCAGACCTGTAGCAGGGAGCAGGGACAGAGGGATGGGTCAGTGCTTTGCAAGGGACCCGCGATACCCAAGTTTGGACTGTGATGCTTTAATTTGTAGACAGACCTTCCCTCCGTGCTCAGCCTGTGGCTGGATGGTGGCGATATCACTTTGCTGTCACTTTGCTGTCACTTTGCTGTCACTTTGCTGTCACTTTGCCCACCCGGAACCGCTGGTGCTGCTCTCTCAGTGCCGTGCGAGCTCACCCCAACACACTGTAGGGGCCCCCCACCTCCCAAGAACCACCACCTCGATTCACTCAAAGCCAAATTAGTGGAAAATACAGGTCAGCTTTGAATTCAGGATGTCAGAACACCTTGTGTTGTGCTTTTCTCAGAATGATTACACCTTCGCTAACGCGGTGGAGCCTGAGCAGTTCTGCTTTCTAAGATCACCCGACCTGGGCAGGGACCAGGATCCTCCCCATCCTGGGACCCCGTGTGCCGAAGTGGAAGGAGAAGCTGCCAGAAATCCATCCTCACCCGGGGGATGGAGCTGGAAAACCCAGGAACCGAGCTCCCATGAGGTATGTCGTTGCCGAGTCAGTTGCCGTTTCGTGTCAGATCACTTCAGGATGACACATTTCAATTCAGTTCAGCAAATTCAGTGTTTCAGTTGCAGTGGAACCTGCGATCTGAACTGAAATCTTTCTTTCTGAGCCAACTTCCTGTGGAATTTATTAGGAACTGCTTTTTTCTTTTGACCAGTTGATGAGCAACTGCCACCCAGCTCTGGTCCTGCAGCCCGGGCAACAAATCTCAGCCACCAATTGCCACCTCTCACAGTGAGGGTGAGCAGAGTAACCGAGGTTTGAACCGGAGACTGAAAATACCTGGTAACTTGGTTATTTTATGTATATAATTAATTTATCTTTAGGGCTAGAAATGTGTTCTGGTGAGCAAAGAGCACCGTATGGCTGCACGGGGCAGAGCTCAGGCCTGGCACACTGAGAAGGGCAGTGTTTGCTCCTGCAGGATCACATTTGAGACAGCTCACGGGGCACATGCGTTGAAGGGCATATGTCAAAGAGACAGAATCACTAAGGCATGAAATGGGCTGTAAATGCACCCAATCAAATTAAGCAAAGCTTTAATAAATGTTTGGAGAACTCCCTAGGTACAAAACATGACTGTACAAGAAGGTTCAGTGCCATAAAGACCTAGTAAACTGTTTATTTTTAAATAATCCCATCCTTTTTTGAAAGGAAAACAATTCACTTGAGTTGGCTCTGACAACACAGGACGTGGCACCTACTAAAACTTTGAAGTTAACGGAGTATGTGCAGAAAATAAACCTCAACCCCTCTCTCTGCTGGCTCTGGGGAGGGACTGGCTGCCCCACAGCCCGTGCCCCTCTCTGGGGGTGAGCACAGAGTGGTGCCAGGAGAGTGTCCCTGTCACTGTGCACCCCTGATAGCACCATCACAGCACCCAGAGGCTTTACACCCACCAGTTCCAGGTATCCTGCCCGTCTGAGAGAGGACTTTCATCTTTAGGGCATTGGAAGAGGCTGCCCAGGGAGGGGGTGGCGTCCCCGTCCCTGGCTGTGTTTAAGGGCCGTTTAGATGCAGTGCTGAGGGACATGGCATGGCCCTCTCTGGGGGTCAGCACAGAGTGGTGCCAGGCAAGTGTCCCTGTCACTGTGCACCCCTGATAGCACCATCACAGCACCCAGAGGCTTTACACCCACCAGTTCCAGGTATCCTGCCCATCTGAGAGAGGTCTTTCATCTCTAGCCCTTCTTGGCGGAAGCGGTTAAAAGATAAAGCTCTCAAAGGCAGCGGTACCTGCTGGGATAATCGATGAAGAAAGGGAAAAGGGAGCAATAAATAGAGCTGTGGAGCCATGAGCTGTTCCTGCTGATGAGATAAGCCCCGAGCTGCAAAGCCAGTGATGGGAGCCCTTCTTGGCGGAAGTGGTTAAAAGATAAAGCTCTCAAAGGCAGCGGTACCTGCTGGGATAATCGATGAAGAAAGGGAAAAGGGAGCAATAAATAGAGCTGTGGAGCCGTGAGCTGTTCCTGCTGATGAGATAAGCCCCGAGCTGCAAAGCCAGTGATGGGCGCTCAGAGAGGGCTGAGGGGAGCGCAGGGCAGCTCCTGGGAAGGGAGGTGAAAGCCCTGAGAGTCTTCAAGCCCCCAATTTGGGGTGAGGGTGTGGGGATCCAGCATCCTGCACGTTAACCACCCCGAGCCCCAGCGAGGGGGGGACATGGAGAAGGTTTTTTAGTGACAGCTGGGCTGGCACAAGGTCTAAGGAGGGTCTGGGACTCGGCGGGTGCTTACACAGGCTCTGAGACCATCCACGGGGTCCTTGGCTTCAGGTGTATTTATTCTGGGCTGGAGAGGGGCAGGGAGAGAAACATTTGGCTTCGTGTTGAAGCAGTTGGTGTTAAAGGCAGGGCAGCAAGTGACCAGCAGTAGGATCAGACTCTTCTATGTACTTAAATTCTACTGAAGTCCTGGTTTGGCTGTGGTTGGCCATTACATTATTTTAAAATAGCTTAAATAAAAGCACCCTCACTCATGTTGGGTTTGTTGGTGAACTGGCTCCTTTGGGTCCACCCTGAACCCTTTTGCCTTCTCCAGCCCCAAGCAGGGGACCTGCTGCACAACCCAGGATCAGCCTAAGTTGAACCCATCGGGGGTTGTAATCACTCTCTGGGATCCATCTTGTGGGGCTTCATTCCTCCATCCATCCTGGCTGCAGGGACATATTGTAAGAAGATGCAGAGGACAAGGTGCCAAAGCAAATATGTTGAGTCACTTTGGAAGGAAGGTGAGTTCATGAGGAGCTGGTGGTGGCTCTACCTGTTAGAGGAGTCTGTGCCAAGAGCAGGGTCCACCTTGGGCAGACACAGAACAAAAGCTACGGATTTGCATTGAGGCTGATCCATGGGGGGAGAGGATGGAGATGATGAAGGGACGCCCTGTGGGGGCAGGGACCAGAGCTGATGGTCCTGCACGTCCCCCCGGAGCCACATCCTGGGGGCTGAAACTGGTGGGGAAGGTGTGGGGACCGCAACAGCACAAAATCTTTTGAGGAAGATGGTGCACACTGATACGCAGCAGACAGTAACACAAAAGCACCCAAAAGCAGAAAAAGGTGTGAGGGGGGAAAGTTCACCCACTCGCCTGAGCTGCTGATAATGTGGAGGGTGCTGCGAGCGTGGGGGAGCCGGGCGAGGGGACAAAGCCCCCGGCAGCCCTGTCCCCTGAGACTGTTCATGGGGTAGTTGAACCCCTTCCCCAGAAAGGGTCTGGTGGAGGAGCTCCCCATCCCCTACAGCACTGGCTTCTGGTGGATGCTCCAGCAGATGAAGCAGGATCTGCCGGGGAGAGGAGGGGAAACAAGAAGGGGACTCGTTCCCCTTGTCCCTTCACCACAGACCATTTCTCGTGTGTCGGTGCAAAAGCAGAACCCACTTGGTTTTACCCAGTCTCCGCACATCGTGCGTGTGCGCAGCCCTCAGGAGGCACCGGGGAGCCCCGAGGCACCACTCTCCTGGGCTGCTGCAGGCACCAGGAGGAGGAGGAGGAGGAGGAGGAGGAGGGTCTACTGAATGTCAGTGACACCCGGACGCGTCATGAGCTTCTCGCTGAGGGGTAGGAAGTATAAAAGAGTGAGTTTCCCAAAGAGGGTCTCTGGAGGGAGCCGCGGCGCGTTGGGGCTGCGCTGGGACGTAGGATGCTCTGGGCAACCCTGTGACTTCATCCCAGCTTGAGAGGAGACCATGGATGGTGGTGAGTACCTGCTCCACAGCCTCGGCTGTGCCTTCAGCTTTACTAATAATAGCCAAATTCACACCCCGTGACACAGAGATGAAGCACTCTTAACAGAGTGCTTAATCCTCTTAATGGAGGATTTCAACAATATGAAAGGTTTTCATATTCCTCATAATTACTATTAAAAAAAAAAAAAGAAAGCAATGTTTAAAAACTTCAAATCAATTGCTGCAGAAACACACACCAAAAATAGGCTTGGAGGGGACTTCAAGGGGCTACTCTGTCCCAAAGTGAATGAGTTCTTCTCAGATAATCCATACTTTTTCTTCCATGTTCTTAAAAAAACCCCACAAAAATAGAGTGAGGCAGTGCTATCTCCTTGGCAATATTTTAACTCAGTGAATAAATCAAAGAATTAGGAGCAAACATCAGGGGTTATTGTTGGCTAAGTCTGTCCAGTCTTATGCAAATTGTTTCTATTAATGAGCCTCTTTCCTGCAGTAACAAAACTGCTGCAAAAGCCATAGGTTTGTGTTTGCTCTGAGCTGGAACAGCCCTGAGCGCGTGCCCGTGTCTGTTTTCCCATGGACCACCCCATCACAAAGCCTCTTCTCTGGCACACGACAGCCCAGGAGGCACAGGACAGTCTGTTTCTGCTTCTTGCTCAAAGTTCCAGGCTTTCTTTCTCCATCTATTACTGCTCTGTTGGTGCTCCACAGGCACCAGCTTCCAGGAGCTGGAATAAGTGGGAAGGGCTCCGTGGGCGGGAGATGCGGCAGAGAAGATGCAGGTTCTTCTTTCCTCTAAGACTGTGATTTATTCCTTTTTTTTTACTTGTTTTTATTTATTTTATTGCTCCAATATTTGCAAACTGATCCCAGCGTGGCTGAGGGAGAAATGCAATAGCTCGGGTGGGTAAGTTAGTTTATAACCAGGTTACCCAGACTGGGTTCCCCAGTCCCTCTGGGGCAGAGCACGGTCAGAGCTCCAATGCGGATGGTTAGAGGGATGGGGCAGTCACCACTGAGTTCATCCCAGTAGAGCCCCATTCCAGGTGAAATGAATTAAATCTCGTAGCAGGATGACACAGGAGGTGTCACTGCCTCATCTCTGGGATATTCCCAAACCAGAGCTTTAAATTACCCGGAGATCCCAGTACCCCGTTCCCTCCTGGTGCCTTAGACCGGAGCACGAGAACGGGGGAGTTCTGCCCTCTCCTTTTTCGAAGAAATGAAGATGCAAAAACTTAAAGCAACCCCCACAAAATCCCCCAGAGAGCAGTCTGGTACAGCTGGGAAAAGAACCGCTTCTTTTTGTATCTTCATCTACTGTTCCAGCCCCAAAACTTGTCCTCATTTTTTACCCCCCGAGCAGTCCTCATTTCCCAGGCAGGGATTTCTCCTCTTGCAGGGCCAGCAGTGATTTGGGGATTCACTCGGTGCCTTAGGAAACCCCTGAATTTTGGAATCATAGAATCATATGGGGTTGGAAGGGACCTCTGGAGATATCTAGTCCAACCCCCAATCCTGCACCCAAGGCACCACAACCCAGTGGGACCCATTCACCATCGCTCCCCGCTGTCAAACTCCTGGACCCCCCAGCACCAAGCAGGCACTTTGCAGTTTCTTGCTTGAGGGGGTTCAGTACCTGGGGGCACAGCTCTTACTCTGGCTTTAGCAAACTGGTAAAGGTCAATGATGACAAGAAAAAAACAGAATTAGTGAGAACCTGCCAAGAAGAGTATGACCGTTCTCCTGCTTTGGGTTTTTTTGTTCTACTGTTGTATTTCAGAGGAATCTGCCAAAAGAACTCTTTCACAGCACTGAAAGCAGCACAACATTATCACTTTTTGAAGTAGTGAGACAGGAAACCTGATTGGGTCGCTTAAGAATGAAATTTTTTTTTTCTTAACTTATCTCATCTTTTGATTCACAATTTCCTAAAAGCGGTGGAGGCAAATAATAATTAACTTTCTTCTGTACCAGATCTATAAGCACACAAAATACCAGTATGACTTAGTTTCACTGGATTTGCTCACTCCTGAAATGATGGTCTCTTTCCTCTGCCAGTTGAGAGAAGCAGAGGGGAAGGGGGGGGAGAACAAGCACTGAGCTCTTAACTGCCAACAGTCATTGTATCATTTAAGTATGATTAATTTTTCTCAGAAATAGCCGGTTCTTTCCCCAAAAGCCTACTATACTGATGTTGAAGAGGCACCAGAAACCAGTTTAAAGACGGAGAGAGTACGTTACTCGCTGCCTAGATGTACTATGGGGCTGGGGAGTGAAACTTCTGCTCTGCAGTTCTGGCCACCAGAACATCCTTTCCCCACGAGTTTTTAGCCAGAGCTGCTCCGCTCGGTTTCACCAATACTTCTCACTTTTCACTGGGTACATCCCTCAGCACCGGAGCTGGAGCTCAGTGGGGTGAATCCCACCCTCGTGCTTACTCTGGGGAGAAAGCTTCAAAACTGGCGGGCTGCTGCCCCTTTTCCCCCTGCCCTCACCAGCAGAGAAACCCCTTCCCTTTTCCATTTGCATGGAGCGATTTTCCTTTCCTCTTTTCCCCAGGTCCCACAGGACAGGAGGGCACTTTTGGGAGCTGCAGCAAAGGCTGCAGCACCAGCCGAGGGGTACAGGGTGACACAGGGCTTTATAATGTATTTTGACTCATCTGTAATGGGTTTCTGTTGTCTTTTTATAAATGAGGTTTCCAGTTCAACTGCTTGCGGGGACTTTTGAGAGGGTTTTTTTTTTTTCTTAATATTTTGAGGAACAAAACTTTAGGAAAATACCCGCAGCAGAGAACTGCGAGGGGAGGGGAAAAAAAAAAAAAAAAAAAAGACAAAGAAAAAGTAAAGTGAGGTCCCTCAAACTGCCCATTAAACTCCAGAGCGTGTCTCATTTCCTCTCGGCAACTCCTTTGCTTCTGCTCCCTCCCCCCACACTGTCCTGGACCCCCCACCCCCCCAGAGTGAGAGAAGTGAGTTTTGGCCGGTCTGCCCGAAACTGGTGACGCAGGGACTGGCTCCACAAACTGGTGTGGGAAGACCACGAGGCTGCAGTGCTGCACTGGTCCTGCCCCAGCAAATGCGTAAGCTGAGGGCTGGGGGGGGGGGACAGGGACGACAAAAATAGGGGAGAAACAAACAGCACAAGCTTTTTTTTTAAATCAAAAAAAATTTGACATTTAAGACACGTGAAACAGCAACTGAGAGGGGAAAGAAAAAAAAGTGTGAAATCTTCAAAGGAATGATTCTTTGCTGAACTGTTGCAGGATCCGTGGTTGAGTCACTCACCAGTCCCGCTTCGCTGGGCGCTTCACCCAGAATTAAGAAAAAAATAAGAACAGCAACTCACCAGGGCTGTGCTCTCATGACATTTCGGATTAAACAGGGGCTGGGCTGGAACTGGGGCTTGAAGGGGAGATGCAGAAGGAGCAGGGGAAGATGTCCCCAAGCCTGGGGACAAGTGCCCGGTGCTGCAGCCTGGCGCTAGGCGGCACAGTGTCCTTGGCAAGAGAAACTGCCAACCAGGCAGGGCTGGGGGCAAGGCTCTGATGGAGCCTTGGGGTCCTCCCTCTCCTCTGCGGGCTGAGGGGCTCCTCTCCCCTGCCCAAGTGGCCGAGATGGGCCAGCAGAGGGAATTATTGTCCACCAACAGGTACAGGGAGATGTAAGCATCAGCTCCAGGAGTCCCCTGGAAAGCAGGCTGTGAAGAAGGTGGCACAGAAGACTAAAGACTCCAATGGCTCAGGGACCTTGTGCCCGCGTCCAAGGCGGTGGGGGGGTGGTGGGGTGGGAGGTAGTTACAATCTAGACTTGCTTAAATTTACCATGTTTATGTGGCTTTCAGTGTATTTCCTCTGCGTAATACGCAAAAGTTACATCAGCCGCTCGGCGGGAGAGATGGCTACAAACCTCTTACTGCAGCCTGGGACGGGTCAGGGTGAAAGCCAGGGGCACAGAAAGCACAGACAGAAGCCTTTAGCCCAGCCTCCCCCCCGGTACCCCACAAGCCCGACCATGGCACACTCCCTTCCTGAGTGTACCCAGCACTAACGATGCACCATCACGCTTTTCTGATTCCCCCGGGAGGATTCAGAGAGGGGTGTATGGACACAACCCAGCACCCGGCTGCAGGAGCACCAAAGATGAAAAGAAGAGGAGGAAGATGAGGCAGAAACTTCTATGAAACACAGCGGGAAGCTCAAACACAGGCTCAGCTGCAGGAGCACCAAAGATTAAAATAAGAGGGGGAAGATGAGGCAGAAACTTCTATGAAACACAGCGGGAAGCTCAAACACAGGCTCTGAAGAGGAGAAATACAAAGTTTTTTCACACGTGGCTAAGGGTCTCTCACCCACATATCGCTGCTCGCAGACAAACAAGCATCTCCAATCACAGATACCAAAGTCACTGTTCCTGTTATTAACGATGCTACTGCATGTGACAAACTGGGCAGACTGGCACAACGGCTGGTCACCTGAAGCAGTAGAAGTTCATCATCCCAGTGCAGAGCAACACCCAACAAGGAGACTGGCCGAGCAGGGGAGGGCACAAAGGGGGTCTCAAAGGAAGGGACCAGAGCAGGGTAGAACAGACTGCGAAGCACGGGGCGGGCAAAGGAATCAGCCAAGTTTAGGACCAAACAGGCCAGGAGGAGAAAGCCACACTCCCCAGAAGAAACATCTCCCACCTCTGCCCCAGCCTTGCTCAGGGACCCTGGGGCAGACAATGGGCAGGGAATGGAGGGGCAGCATGGGGAATGAGCCAGTGCCCGGGGTGACAGCCCGGGATGAGCAGCGTGATGCTCGGTCTCCCTCAGGGAAGGACAAATCTCCTGCTCACAGCAGAGCAGGCAGAGGTCAGGGCTCTCTCACCCTTGCCAGATCACCTTCTCTGGCTTGGGCAACTGTCAGTTACGGCTGCCTGAGGTAGATGCCAGCATGTACTTTAAATAGAGCACGGAGAAAGCTTTCACTGACCTCCGTGCCTCTGCTAACCACAGCAGGAAGAGCTGTTCATCCGAGATCGCTCTCGCCATTATCACATCTGGCTCTGAATTTCATTTTTCCTCCCAGCTGTCAGCATCCTGTATCTCCCCATCCAAAGGCAGCAGAAGCCAACCCTGACATTTAGAAGACAAGCAATAAATTTCAGGCAGCTTCAGTCACATACATCCTGCAGGGAGCAGAGCTTTCCTGTCCTGCAGCCCCGGCACCGCGCTGTCAGGGAACAGCTGGCCCAAATTTATTGCACTTACAGGTGCAGGTTTTTACACAGGCAGCGTACACTACACCCTCCCAGCTCAGAGCCCAGCACAGGAGATGGGATGCTGATTGCCTGTAGGAAAAAAAATAATGTATAAAATACAAATCGTTACACTGTGCACGAGTCAACTGTGCTTAGCCATCAGCCTTTCCTGATGAAACCGGGGGGAGCCGACTCCTGAGACTTATTCCGTGCTCTGACAGTAACTTATTTTATTAGCACCTTCATCAGGTTTTACTTTACCCAACTGCAGGAAGCTCTGGGGTGAGAATGCCATGGACAACCACGCTATCGCTGCGTTCTCACAGGGAGCATTGTGTGGAAACCGCTAACACTAACACTGTCTCCTTCTTCCACAGGCAAGCGGTTACAGGTCACCCTTGTTTTCAGCCTCCCTCTAATTTTTCAGGTAAGATGTTAAAAACAGCCCTGCTGAAATCCAGCTGCATTTGTGTTGTGGGTAAAGAGAGACCTCGAGAACCCTGACAGGCAGAAAGCAGCCACCCACGGCCCGCAGAGAAATGGGGGGACACTGACAGGGTGGGCGTGAGACAGAGCGGGGCTGGGAGCCAGGGGAAAAACAAACAACAGGAACAAACACAGAGAGAGAACAGAAACAATAGATACACTGTGCTTTTAAGATGCCCTGGGCTGTTAGAGCCACTCCAGCATCAAAATGAGCATTTTGAGGAAAGATGAGAGCACCCTACGCCGAGTGCTCATGAAGACCCAGCTCTTTGGAAAGAGCCCGGTCAAAGAGCTGAGCTTTAAGTGGGGTTGGTGTGGGAGAGCTGACGGGGCCAAGGAGGAAGAGCTCAGCATCTTCCTCTGCCTGTTCCTGCTCAGAGCGAGTCTGAGGTGGGAAGGAGACCCCAGAGCACCGAGCTGTGCCACGACCTGCCCGCATTCCCACAGCCACCAGAGCAGCCTCTGCCACCACCATGGCCCCAGCTCCGGCTCTCCGAGAGGCTCGGCGGCGCGGGGAGAGGTTTGCAGCCCACTTCTTTTCCCTTTCACGTCTGGCGGCGTGTCTCCAGAGAGCAGGCAGGATGTGGTGAAAGCCCAGCCTGCCCGAGATGGAGAGCGCGCGAAGATACTCGCCGATAACAGGCCCAGGTATCCAGGGGAAACCTTTCATCTCTGAGCAACGGAGAGAAGGTGCTGGAGACTAATGAGGCACAGAAAAGCAGGGCACAGATAACCACAAGCTCACTCTGCCCTGAAGGTTATGGCAGCGTAGGAAGATGAAAAGAGAATAATCAGAACTTAAATCAGGGGCAGGGGCCTGAATGAGATGCCGGCGGCGTGTCCGCGCCGGCACGGTAACAGTTTCCTGCTTCACGGGCTGCGTTTCCTCCCCATCCCATTGACACCTCAATTAACCCAGCAGAGAAACAGCCCAAGGGGGCTCTGGCTTTGTCTCCCCTTCCCCTGGCCGGGGCTGGGGTGGCAGCAGGACCAGGGAGCCCAGGGAGACCCTCGTGCTCACCATGCTGGGCTGCTGCCCCACACTGCACCCCCTTCAGCGCTGCCACACGTGGGAAGGGGACACGAGTGACAGGGGTTATCTCGGATGGGAGAAGGGAGGGAATACTGAGGTTAGAAAATGCCTAACGAGTCAAGTTTCAGTCAAGCAGAAATGCCATCCCCGCCGAGAGAGGGAGAAGGCTGAAGGACGTACTGCTTCTCACATTTTCCCCGACAGCTGAGGGCGTACACACAGCTGTACGTGGGGCCTGAAACCTCCTGGAAAGCAGCCACACGCTTGATCGCTCGCAGGTGTTACTTTGGCCGAGCACGAAACATTTCTTGTGGAATTCCCACTCTGAGCCCCCAAAAATCCCCAAACCCCACATACTTATGGGAAACGTTTTCAGCCACGAGACCTCAGCAGCTCTGTGATGTTCGTGTGAGCCAAGGCTTGGGAACTCCCTGGAACTTCTCTGTGGCCGGGGACTCCTTCCAGACCCAGCCACAAAGGGGCACAGAACCTCTCCCCAATACACTCTTCTCTTCTTCCCTCTTCTAGTTCTGCACCGGGAACAACGTCACCGATTACTATGACTCCAACAGCACCATCGACTACAACCTGTTCGAGACCCTGTGCGAGAAGGAGGAAGTCCGTAACTTCCGTGCTGCCTTCCTCCCTGCCATGTACTCCCTCATCTGCTTCACGGGGCTGCTGGGCAACGGGCTGGTGATGCTCACCTACATCTACTTCAAGAGGCTGAAGACCATGACGGACATCTATTTGCTGAACCTGGCTCTGGCAGACATCCTCTTCCTGCTGACCCTCCCCTTCTGGGCCACAAGCGCAGCCATGCACTGGCTTTTTGGGGAGCCTGCCTGCAAAGCTGTCTACTGCATCTGCAAAATGAGCTTCTTCAGCGGGATGCTGCTCCTCCTGTCCATCAGCATCGACAGGTACTTTGCCATCGTTCAGGCTGCCTCAGCCCACCGCTTCCGTCCCCGGATGATATTCATTAGCAAGGTCACATGCGTCCTCATTTGGGTCCTGGCCTTCATCCTCTCCATCCCCGAGCTGGTTCACAGCGGTGTCAATAACTCAGGGGACCATCCCCGTTGTTCAATCATCGCTAACGACTTGCAGACCTTCAACACCGGCATCAAAGTGTCCCAAATGGTTTTTGGCTTCTTATTTCCTCTACTGGTCATGTCTGTCTGCTACCTCATCATCATCAAAACATTACTCCAGGCCCGCAACTTTGAGAAGAATAAAGCCATCAAGGTCATCATCGCCGTGGTAATTGTCTTCGTTGTCTTTCAGCTGCCCTACAACAGCGTCATGTTGGCCAAGACCATCTCAGCCTTCAACCACACCAGCTCCTGTGAGGAGAGCAAGAAGCTTGACGTGGCAGATGATGTGACCTACACCCTGGCCTGCTTCCGATGCTGCCTCAATCCTTTCCTCTACGCCTTCATCGGCGTCAAATTCCGCAACGACCTCTTCAAGCTCCTGAAGGAGCTGGGCTGCCTGAGCCAGGAGCGCCTCTGGCAGTTGTCCACCTGCCGCGAGAGCAAGAGGTTCTCCTTCGCCATGGAGACTGAGACCACCACCACCTTCTCCCCATGAGCCCAGCTCCAGGCAGGCTTTGACCAAGCTGGAGTGGTTTTGTACACTTTCTCTCTTCTGAACTGCTGGCAGAGTGAGACCTGCCACCACTATAGGGAAGGAGCTGTAAGAGACAAAAATAAGAGCCTTCCCGTATTTCAGGCAAGGAGCACTGCTAACCAATTCTCCCATGGATGGAGAAACTTCCATAAAGCTGTGACTAAAGCAAAGCAAGGGAGAAGGAGACTGGTGAGTCTAGAATTTATCATGTTCATTTCACCTTTATTTTAGTCTTTCCTAGTCAAAATGAGAAACGCTCAAAATTGAACGTTTTCCCTAAAAGCAACAAATACTGAACTTCCAAGAGCATCGTCCTTGCTTTGAATGTTGCTTTCAACCAGATGACCTACTGCTCTTCTACACCTGCAGTAACAATGCCCCTTGCACTGGTTCAGTCTTCAGGACAGAAGAGCCCCAGCAGCCTCAAGCTTCATCTAAAACACAACATAAGCTGTGAACTATCCTGGCACACAACTCTCTGCTCTGCCTTCCCCCACAAAGCGAGACATTTCCATAACTAATACTAACTCTATACATATAAATAATTTCAAAAACTTTGTAAATTATGGTGGCAACTCATACGTTTGTCAGGAAAAGTACATATTCCACTTCATTTCTGCCTGTATCTGGTGTTTCACCTATAAAGAAGGTGCATCCTAAGGAGCACAGGTTGTTCCATCCCAACGTTGCCTTGAATTCTTTAGAAATGCTGCTGCACTCCAGAAAGAAAGTCTCCTTCAGCTTCTGAGAAGGCACCCGCCTGCAGGAGGCTGATGCAGGGGTGGCTCCCATGGTTTAGAGTCAAACTTCTTGCACAAAGACAAATGAGTTCCAAAACCCCAATGTCTTTCCAATCACCCAGCCTGCAAACTTGGACTAAGAAACAGGCACTTCAGCACCAATCCAGGTGCTTAAAATACATTTCTACCACCCAGCCATCCAGCCTGTCCCAACATCACCCTTACTCCCACGTGCAAAGGGACTCTTTACTCGCTTGATATAAAGCACGTGTGCCAGAATCCTCAGGATTTTAAAGATTCAAGCCCAGGGCAAATCCATTTCTTACGACGAGACACTGCAATTCAGGATAGAGCCGTGCCCACGGTCCAACCACTGCCAGCATCTGGAGCTTCCTTGTTCCTGGCTTTATTGGCCGCTGCGGACACGGGCTGCTGACTTTCACACACGTGTGGGGGCCCTCTGCGCAACTGCTTGCTGACCTCAAGAGATAAAACACCCATGTGGGTTTTCTTCTCCCTTCCCAACCAGCGTGCCTTTCTAGAAGGCCTTCAGCAGCTGGCTTTCAAGTCAGATACTTATTTCACTTATAAGCTATTGAAAATGTGGTTTGCGTTCATACTGTCAGTGCTAATAAAGATGCCGTTCACTGTGGTTTGATGTGAATGCACAGGACAGTCACGTGTCGAAGATACTGCCAGGGTCACGTACTTGAAAGGAATGTGACAGCTGAACACAGATTATTGTCATGTAAACTAAGACCTTGAAAAGCAGCCCAGACTGTAGTGCCAGTCGGTGCATTTACCAGAAGAGCAAAGATTCCTACCGACAGATGAATCCCCTGGGAAGTGCTGTCACTGACATCTGAGTGTCAGCTGGGGAGGAGCTGCTGCAACTGTTTGTGCATCTGTTATTGACCAGGGTGCTCCCTGCTCTCACCCCTGAAGTGCAGAGCCCTCTCCAGAGACCAGCACCAGCAGAGAAAGGTCTTGGCCAGGAAGCGCTCTGGGTGCTGGGCAGGAGCAGGATAACTCAGCGGGGACATGGCACCTCACCCTCCAGAGAGCACCTCGGTGGAGACTGTCAGGCATGTTCCCAGGAGCACACAGAGCAAAACATGCTTCCTAAAAAGATATTTATACTTTTTTTCCAGTCCCACACATGGATCCATTAGAGTGATACAGGGAACTCTCCGGATCATAGGTCGAAAAACATTGCTTTAGAGACGCGAGAATTAAAATCAACCTTCCGAGGGAAGAATTCAATGAGCTGGTTTTGAGACCCTGTTCCCAGCAATATAGCTGCCTGCCATCACAATTAAATACATTCTTCTTCACAAGGCATTTGGCTCTGGGCTATGGGATTTTGCCAAGAGCTGGGATTCAGGAAGAAAGCTCATTCTGCTCCACGTGACCCCTCTGTGCAGAAGGACAATCCCACCCAGCTGTTTCACACATTTTCTTTCATAATGCCCATGTAATGTGTACAGAAGTGCTGCTTCTCTGTCACTGGAAATGGGAGGTTACAACTGACACCAAAGAGTCACTTGTTCTTGGTTTGTCCCTATTGTCCTTCCTCAGGCAAAACACTTGGGGAACAGGAACTCTGCCAGAGCAAGGAGTGCCCACACCACAGGGTCCTTCTAGTTTCCTTCAACAGTAACAATATATTCTTAATGTCTGTTCATCTACGTAAAGCTGCTTTACACAGAAAAGAGTTAAATACATACATGAATGTACCCTGAAAATACACTGCTTTAACTCATTCTCTTTATGCAAAATACATTCACCTAACTTATTCTAGAAGAATTGCTTCACTGACACATGTGGTTGTCCTTGTCTCCTGGGTGATAAAAGCCATGCCGCTTCTACAAACTGGGAAGTCCTCAGGTCCCTATTCACTAGACCTATTGTAAATAGGAAAACGTGCAGCTGCTTCTACACAAATGAGATACTAAAAGCATCACCTGGGACAGCTGCATCTGGTACCTCCTCAACGAGACAGCGGTGACTTCAGAGTGCACAGTTTCTTTATTTTCTTTTAATTTAATGGGCAGAACGAATTTGCCACTTATTCAGATGAATCATGTCAACATTGGCCTAAGATCTTAAGTTGAGGTTCCCACTGAAGTCTGAAAACTGACTGTATTTTGCTATTTGTGGAAAATAAATTATAACAATTTTAAAAAATACCTTTACTTTTCCATTATCTTTCCTCCACAGGGTGTATCATGACAGTTCGTATCATACCCTTCTGGTCCCATCAAGAGCTGTTTGTCCTCAGCCTGGTTTCATGTCAGTACTGCCCTGCAGGAACAAAGAGCCAGTAAAATAAACTATTTAGAAAAAAAGTTGGTTTACTTCAACTATTAACCCAACTGCCTTAACAGCTGGATATACCCAATGGCTACTTATCAATGTTTATGTGAAAACTTTTCTACTGTAACATTTTATTGTTCGCTTTTAAATTAACACAAGTCATTCATGCAATCCTATATTAGTGTACAATTGCTCACAGGGAGAGGCAGTGGCTCTGGTGGCCGGGACTCCTCCAGAGAAGGTAAGAGCAGGCCCAGCCATGGTGGCTGGGACGAGCCATCCCTTGCTGGGACGAGCCATCCAGTAAGAGCAGGCCCAGCCATGGTGGTTGGGATGAGCCATCCCTAGCTGGGACGAGCCATCCCTTGCTGGGACGAGCCACCCAGTCCAGCCCCGCAGCCCCAGCTGGCCAACGTGGCACGATTACTTTTAAATGAACACAAGTCATTCATGTAATCCTATATTAGTGTACAATTGCTCGCAGGGAGAGGTTTGACTCTGGTGGCTGGGACTCCTCCAGAGAAGGTAAGAGCAGGCCCAGCCATGGTGGTTGGGATGAGCCATCCCTAGCTGGGACGAGCCATCCCTTGCTGGGACGAGCCACCCAGTCCAGCCCCACAGCCCCAACTGGCCAACGTGGCACGATTAACGAGCACAGCCCAGTCCAGCCCCGCAGCCCCAGCTGGCCAACGTGGCACGATTAACGAGCACAGGATGGTTTTTCCTGACCTCCCCAGTCAGGTTTTACCTCAAGACACATGAGGACGAGCAATATCCTTTAGAAGAAGCACCCTGTAATTGCAACCATGGAACCAAAAAAGGAGGGCGCCTCAAAGAAAACCAGAAGTAGCAAAGCCTCACATTTGAGCGCCAAAACAAAGGACCGTTTCTGCTTTCACTCAATAATGCACGTCTGTCATGGTTTCTCCCTAGAGAGAAAGTACTAGACTAGTTTCAGCATCCGGCCCAGAGGTTCAAGCAGCAATAAGGAGCATCTCGAGACCACGGCACCACAGTACAACTCTAGACAACAACCGTCTAAACCCAAGGATCCTTAAATAAACATCAAGTCTCACTCACCACAACTAGATCAGAAGTCTCGGCTGCCCCGAGTCCAGGGAGCTCGTCTGTGCAAGAGCCTCAGCCAGAGGGACAGGAGCTCTGAGCTACAGCACACAAACATGGAACAGAGCTGGGGATTTGCAGAATTCCCTGTCCTTCTCAGAGGTGGCTGCAAACCAAACCGTTAAACAGGAAAGTTCCTGAATTTTAAGAAGCCAGACTCTAACTTACAACCCTGATTCAAACCAGTAAAAACTCAGCCCACCAAACAACGATGCAAGGTCACACCTTAGGCCATAAATATCCCAGCCAAACCACACAGAACGTACCACAGAAAACAGGTACGTTTCTAGGACAGATTTAACCCATTTTAGTACCTTTCACCAACAACACAGGGAAAGAAGTTTCCTGTTCACTGAGGAGCTAGGACTAAGGCCCTAAGTCAATTAAAAAAACCTGGCTCTCGTTACAGAAAGGATCTGCAATAAGCTACATCAAAAGCAGGGGGATACCCACCACCTGGTCACAGTCCTGTGGGCTCCAGGTGGCCCCTCCAGCCCCTTCTCCAAGTCCCCACAGGAAACCTCTCTGTGGCTCAGAAGCCCTGGACTCCTCATGGCCCCAAATTGCTGCTCATCCTCCTCCTTCCCCACCTGCTCTTCATGCACAGGAGCTCATGTGTATTTTTAAGCTACGGTTTAAAAGCCCTCGGTGCCAAACGGATCTGGGCTGGGTGGGAGGTAAACTGGAATCAGGGGAGTTAAACTGGAATCACTAAATGCAGTTGCTCCCATCCATCCCAGAGCAGGCACTAGTGTGTCCCCTCCCTTCTCCTGCTGTCCCAGGCACCGCATCCCATCACTTGCTGGTGAATGAACTGATTAATGCGTCGGTGAAGGGGAAGCTGCTCCAGGCAGGGCTGTGGTTTCTGAAGGGCCACCTGGGCAGCTGCGGGAGGGAAGTCCTTGTCACCCTAAGAAAGAATGAGCTGGCGTTGAGTGAGGCAAACAAACCCTAAAAATAATGCACGTGGGTGATGAGGAAGGGTGGTGGCATGCTGCAGCCATCAGAATAGCTGAGAGAGGGTGATGGTTTCCTCTCCCCACATCATCTTTTACGTGGAAAAATAACCCAAAGTCCTGTTCTGGGGGTGGAGGTGTCAGATCTCAGGGGAGAACTTCTTGCAGGGGTCAAAGATCTTCCTCCCCAGCTTGCCAGCAGAGCTGCCTTGCCCGGGGGCCACTTTGCCCAGAGGCACCAGTGGTGGGTTCCTGCTCCACACTGGGGGATTTCTCCCCTTCCTACCTGTGAGATGGATCTGGGGAAACCTAACTCAGCTGAGACCCCAGTCACCCCTTGTTTGTACCATCACAAGCAGCTCCGTGACCTCAAAGTGAGTAGATCAGACTGAAAAGCAGAGACTTTTGATGGATTAGAAAGTGGCAGGACCAGCTCAGAGCCATCCTGTTGGCACAAACGATGGGATAAGAACACGGAGGTGGAATATGAGGGAAAATAACTCGATAAACACACAGCACCATACTGCGTTTAGTGGGAGCAGCAGAACCCACTGCTGGACCCTTCTTACAGCCCCCAGCACGGGGGGAGCGTGCTGTGGGGGACAGGAAAAGAGAAGAGAATGAACAACCAACCCTCTGAGCTTCAGATGTGGCTGACCATAAAAACAGAAGATACACAAAGGGACAGGATCTTAGCAGGGTTTTGCTGAGTTCTTCTTAGACTTAAGTTCCCAAAAGGGGCAGTTTATTCCTCGTATACAAATAGCTCAACACGCAGTACAACAGGGTTAGAAGGAGAAAGATGGAAGAAGATGAAAAACAAGAAGATGGCTGGCTAGAGAAAAAAAGATCACCTAGCTATATTCACTCTCTGTAGCCCTTTTCCTGCCCCAATGCCCCTTTGTGCTGGCAAAAGCCTCTGGACACTTGAATATGAGGAAGAACTTCTTCACGGTGAGGGTGGCAGAGCCCTGGAACAGGCTGCCCAGGGAGGGTGTGGAGTCCCCTTCCTTGGAGATTTTCAAGACCCGCCTGGATGCTCCTGAGTAACATGCTCTGACAAGCTCTGGGTGGTCCTGCTTTGGCAGGGGAGTTGGACTAGATGATCTCTATGGTCCCTTCCAACTATAAAAATTCAGTGACACATGGCCAAGGCTTCAGTGTGTGCACATTCCAGCAGTGGCACTGTAGGGGAATGGAAGCTCAGTCTGATCCAATGTTTAAAACTTAGGACAAGACTTAGAAAAGATGGGTCCTACCCCTGGCTCTGCCCCTCAGTGCCCCCAGTCAGTCCTGAGCTGCTTCCCCCAGCACTGAAACAGAGATAAAACATCACTCGGCAAAAGCAGCGAGAGGAGCCCTCGCTCTGCTCCAGTCCCTCGTACAGATCCTTCCCACCCTCCCACTGAAACAAAAAAGAGACTTCACTTGTTCAGCTTTTGCAGAAATTGCCTGTTTCGGACCTCGGGCACAGCCTGACCTACCCCCAAACTGCACCAAAAGGTGTTTTGTCCCTCAGTAAGAGCCCAGCCCTTCGCAGAGCTCAGAGCATTACCCAAGCGGGGAATCAAATCTTCTTGATACTCAGCAAACACCTGTCGCTGCCACAGCTTGTGACAAAAATCTTATTCAGGTTTTAACAAGTACAGAGCTTTCCGTTCACCTTCCCCACACGCATGGCAGACGTGGGGCCAATCTGAGAGTGATCTCACATATCTGTCATTGCTGAACCCATGCAAATCCTCAGCTTGCAGGAACCGAAACTCTAACTTCCCTTCCTGCTGCTTTGGTTTTTTTTTTAATTCAATTGTCTAAAATAAGATAACAAGCAGATATTTTACTTTCCTTTCTTTGCTGGCGAATACTGTTGCACAAAGCCCTAATTCTTGAGTGATTATGTGCTTTATTGGGAAATTTCTGTGACTGAAGGTCAATTCTAACATCCAGAATCATCCAGCAGGAGAGGAAAAGGCCAAATAATTTCCAGTGCCATGAACAGTCCAAAAGGTCTTCCAGGACTTGGAGTCTGCGCATCCCACTGTCCCAAAATCAGCATCTCCCATCGATTCTAGTTCTTTCTTCTTTAATTAGGAGCATGGTCTAAGATCCACGGAAAGCAGCAGGAGCTTCCATGGAAAGCCTCTGCATTACCTTGGGAGTTGGTATGAATTGCTGATGCTACGGCCCATGGAGAGGAGACACACATGCCAATCCACCCCAACATCAAGAAACCTGTACATCTGGAAAACACAGGGAAGGGAAACCACTTAGTGTGTGTTCCCCAGGGTGCTGAGAGCTCTCCTGGCTTTGCAACAGGAGCAGATGGATTTCATGTGTCTGTTGAGGGCTGAGGAACCCCACAACCACTGAAGCCCCCTGAAGTGACAGGATGGCGACAAACGCAGCTTCTTTTCAGTCCCCACCCATCCTCAAGGCTCCACAGCAGTGTAAAACTCAAACGCTGGGCTCCCCTGGGACCATGTCCTGGTTTCTACTTGTCTAACGACCAAACTGCAAGTGCCTGAACGCTGCCGAGAAGGAAAACGCTGCTCTGAAAACACTTTGAGCCAACCAGGTAGTAAAACATGAAATTTTCGCAAACAGAAGTGACTCAATGTTCCTTTTCCAAAGATTTCCCCCAAGCCCTCATCTCCAGGAGACACTAGAGCTCTCACATTTCACACACCCAACAAAGGCACCCTACTTCCCACCCAACCCTCTGAAAATGAAGGTGCTGAGTCGGTCACCCAAAAAAC